ATCGCGCAACGCCAGCGCCATCAGGTTGTCAAAGGGGGTTTTTAAGTGGGGAAGTCGCCGTTAGCGGAGCTTAAGTCGAATAGGAATCTTTACACTAGTTTTTAGAGAAATTTTGTTCGAGCCTCAACGTCTGTTCTCTGTGACATCTACTGAAAAAGTGTGCTGCTTCTTAAGTAGATCCATTGACACAGCTGTACAATCGATCAATGGAAGAAAAAACGTTCCTAGGACTGTGGAAAATCGCTTCAATGATTCCCATTCGCAATTCCGGCAGCCTTCAACGTTTCGAAAACTACCGTGGAATTTCGATACTCTGTTGTCTAGGAAAGATCATCGAATCCTTAGTACACGAAGTCATCTTGACTGCAGCAATACCGCTGATATCTGAATACCAGCATGGGTATGTTCCTCGTCACTCAACAACAACTAATCTGATGTGTTATACGAGCAGTTTATTCCGAGAGATGGGACGTCGGAATCAGGTTGATTCTAATTTACGTCGACTTTTCGAAGGCGTTTGACACTGTACCGCATACCTACTGACTGGTCGTAAAGCATTCGTCCAGGTCAACTCTGCACGTTCCAAAGCATTCGAAATACCATCTGGAGCGTTGCATGTTAGGCTCTCTTATCTTCGTCCTCTTCATAAACGATCCGTGCCTTCGTATGTCGTCCGGGAAGCTTTTATACGCAGATGATCTCAAGCTGTTCAGGGTAATCAAGTCCGCATTGGATTGTGCGGCTCGACAAATGGACATCGACATGCTTTCACAATGGTGCAACGAGAATGGTATGAGTGTAAACATCAACAAGTGCAAGGTAATCACGTCCCTCTGGAACGTGTTCAGTCCATTTGCGATTTGGGTGTTATTATCAACCACAAACTGAGGTTCAATGATCATATTGCTACAATACCAGCTAAAGCTTTCTCTGGTCTTGGATTCATCCGTCGCAATTCACTGACGTTTATGCGTTGAAAGCACTCGAATACGCTTCTCCGATTTGGGCACCTTATCATGCAGCTCAAGTGATCCGCATTGAACGTGTACACTGCAATAAAAGTTCACTTAATATTCACCTGAAAAAGTCGTAGATATTTTCCATCGTACTTTTCAGGTGAAAATTACGTATTTTGGGAATGAAAATCTATGCCATGTGATGAATATTGAAATCAAGTGATTTTCACGTAAATTTTTTCGGACGTTCCGATGATCTACACATAGGTTTCACTTAAAAGCTACGTGAATTTTCAAGTAAATGTAACTGGATCTTATAGTAATATTCAAGTGGAAAGGTGGTAGATTTCATGTTAATTTCTGTTTATTATTTTATTGAATTTATCGAGAATTTTTTTCAAACAGCAAACAGCAAAAAAAAAAACAGAATTCACTGATAAGCGATCTCTAATAAAAACAACCATAAAAGAGAGCTTAACGACGTGTATGAAATAATAGAAACAGGAAATTAACTGTTGGTGTATTGACATCATCAAATATCGATTACATGCATTTTCTAACCTCCATTTGGCTTCCGTTTGTCGAAAGAAATCTTGAATCATGTTGATTGAGATTTGAGAAGGTCAATCAATCCGATTCCGCATTCTGCAATTTAATTTAGGATTTAATAAATAAGGATTAAATTATTAATACTAAACTCACGCTTAGAAAACTTCAAGTAGACGATCTAGGGATTGTCCTAACATTTGCTCTTGTCGCCATATTGAACTTATGAACGTGAAACAATTCGTGCGATTCGCTCTCCGTCATCTTCCGTGGAACGATCCTGTTCATCTTCCTGAGTATGCGGCATGCTGTCAATTTATTGGCCTCTAGTCAGCTATCAGCAAGACGCCTCCAGACACAGTGGATGTTCATATTTGACCTTCACCTTCTAAGAAAACCACTACGATTGATCGGACCTACTTCAGCAAGTTTCCTTCAATGTGCCCCATCGTCAACTTAGAAACTGTTCCACGACATAGGACTAGCTCCTGCCTCAAATGGTTAAAAATGGTTTATAATCCGTGCTAAACTATAACTGAAATGGTTATGGAACTTTACATGAACGTTTGTGTGATAAAGTTTTAGCCTCATGTTTTATGGTTTTTTGGAAGTGGACCTTAAAAATAATGGGTTTTTGAGAACCATTGCCATTAAAAATAGTTGTTTTCTCCATACATTTTCGGAAAGAGAACTACCCAACTAACATTTTCAGCTTTGTAAGCCAACTTTTCCAACGTTGTGCTGTAAAGTAGCTGAAAAGAAGCTGCAGATACAGCTACAAGCAAAAGCTAGCAAAATAGTTTTGGAGAGCGTTTACTCAACTTTCTCACAACCATAATTCAATTTGTCAGTCGCACTGAATAACATAAGCCAATAAACGCTAATGTCACTTCTATACACACACTAATCAACTTTCAACTTGTAGCTGCAAAACAAAGCTAACAAAGTGAATATATTACTCATTTGATGGCTTCTAAACAACCAACCACTCTTGCTGAATAACATAAACATCAAAAGTGCTTTTTCAACAACTAAACAACCTGTACTCAGCTTATAAACTGTGTTAGAGCAACTTCGGAAGCATTTTCACAGTCAACTAGGTTTATTTTTAGACGTGTGTAGTTTTACAGCTTTTACTCTGCTCTTTTATAACTAGTCGAGTAAAGTGATTTGTGTGCACTATTATAAAGCCTCTACTCAGCAATTTTGTTGTAGAAGGGAATGTTGATTTGTTTACATAAGTTCAAAGTGTTGGCGTAGCACAGTTGGTAGTGTCAAGGTTTGCCAAAGAGGTCGTCTCGAGTTCGATTCCAGGTTCCGGTGCAGGGTAAATAATTTGGTGATGATTTGTAACTAACTTCGATTAATTTGATTCACAGCAAAATAAACTCAATAAATTCCTTCATAAAAAAGCGTAAACAGTATTTAACCCGGCTTCAAGAGAAAGCTGTGTAGTGATTATTGGATAACCGGGAAAAGGTTGAATAAGCGCCTTTCAAGTTCACACACAAACTAAACAGCAGGATAACAGCTGTATAGAAGCGTTAATGGATATGCAATAAGAGCTTCTCCCGACCGTTCCAACAGCCATAAGTAGCTGACTAAGTTCGCCAGATTTGCTTGTATAGAGGTCGAGTAAAGGTTTCCTCATATCGTATAACGTTTGAATACAGCTTGAGACTGTATAATTGAAATGAGTAAAGCGTTTACATTACTAAAATTGTTAGTTGGGTATATTAGAACTTTTTTAGTTATGGTTTAAGAACTTTAATGGTAATCAGTAAGGTCCATGGATGGTTTTGTATTATCGGTCAACTTAACGTGGAATATATCGCGAATTGGTTGCCTGTACAATTTTCACACGGTCGTACCACGTGGAATTCGATCATCAAAAATCGACCCCAATTCAGTTAGAGTCGGTGTATAATGAGTCACGCCAAGAGAAAAACAGTTGAACTCGCATCACGGTTTTCGAAAGATTCCCTTTCTTTTCACTTGGCAACAGAGGACTGCTACATCAACTTCAAATGACTTCTAGCGAGCAAAAAAAATAGCGGCTGTTGTAAATCATTCTATCAGTGATTTTGTCCAATCATCTTAACAAAAAATAGTAGAAATTCTCATTACTGATCGTTACCAAACGTATCCCATGACAATTTAATGCTCACTGCGTGTTTATGATCATTTCTTCGATTATATTTTATATTTTATTGCGATACCTTTCGTGGACTTTTCATAGCATCGTAATGTTTGTTTACTTTGCACGATAGGTAGCCAGTTTGACAGTCCAATAGGTAGACTTAGCTTCACTCTTGGCGTGACTCATTATACACCGACTCTAAATTCAGTGATTTCAAGTGGTATAGAAAGACATCGATCTGTCAAATTGATTATACCAGCTGTAAAATGCTGGGGGGGGGGGGGACGTGCTGTCAAATCAGCTTACTGATCATTCTTGTATGAAATTTGGTACCAAACGTAAACAAAGCCTGTAGGTTTCTTATGGCTTGTTTACGTTTGGAACCAGTTATGCGAGGCAGGCGAAGATTGTTCGTATTTGACAGCCACCTCCCCCCCCCCCCCCCCCCCCCTTGGTAAAATGAGAGAGGGAATCAAGGGGGTAGTCAATTGCTAAGTGAAGACAACTGGTTTCTCACTCTTTAATCTCACGGATAGATTTGATCCTCCAAAAAACCTTCGTCAAAATCTTATTCATTTTATCGTCAATGACAAAGATTCACCTGGTAACTAAAAGTGTAACTTCGTGCATTCTGTGTTACATTATTGTATCCAAGCAGTTCAGAACGAAGATGCTTGTTCACTTTAACGGCTCCATGTAATTATTTTGCTTAAGTCATTTAATTTCGTTGCAAATTGAGCTAATACAAAAATCTGCACATGTTCGTCACTGACAATTGACATGGTTTGCCTTGACGATGACTGTTAGCTCAAATGAGTGACCAAAGCAGAATTTTGAATATGTATTGTCGAGATTTTGCTCAGTGCTGCTAAAGAACTAATATGCTGTTATCGCAATGATCAAATAGCCTATTGTTGTTACGATCAGTTTTCCCGCATATTAAGAAAGATAGAAATGCGAATAAAAATACAAAATACTGTAAATGAACAGATGAATATGTGCGTCAATTTCCTCAAAACAACAACAGGCAACAATATATTTTCTTCACGTTCGGACAACTAAAACCAAGGTTAGAGCAATGTAAGTTAAAATCAATAATTTCCCATACTAATTCACCGAAATCTCCACACAAACTTCAAATCATTGGCCGACCTCTAAACCTCCATCAATATTTACCATTTTTTGCACAGGCTCCTATGTTGGGGTTTTGAATCGAACTTGAGGGTGGAAATTCAACACTTTTTTTCAAAATGACTTATGCCCATATAGTATCACAGAATCTACATTGATATTCTAGTAATGCCGAGACTTTCAAAGCCTTCCTAAATCAATTGCATTTTCTTGTCCTTCTTCCATAGCACATACTAGACAACCACCAACAACCAAACACAGCAAACAATGGCTCCACAGCAGAGAATCCGCATGGCCAACGAGAAGGCCAGCCGCAACATCACCCAGCGCGGCAATGTGCCCAAAACGAACAAGACCGCTGAGGAAAAGTACCCCGTGGGACCCTGGCTGTTGGCACTGTTCATCTTCGTTGTGTGCGGATCGGCAATCTTCCAGATCATCCAGTCGATTCGCATCGCGTAATGAACGAGCAACATCGCAACAATTACATCTCACACATAACACACGTGTTTTCCAAACACTGCTGCTACTATTACTATTACTACTACAACAACCATAGCATGCAAACAAAAAGAGGGAAAATATTTCGCCAACGTCCGAGAAAATCCTTTCTCCACTCTTGATTTGTTGTTGTTGTTCGGGGTGGACCAACCTTGCCTTCCAATGTAATTCCTTTTGATTCGCAGGGAGGACCGGGCATGGGTCACCTTTAGCACACACAGACACACTGTTGCCACATCATGTATATCGGTTGGCAACAGCTAAGAAGGGAAACAACCAGCACACGTACACGCAAATATTCCATTTTTTTTGGGTTGGCAGCATTTACCACTTTCTTTTTTAGATTGTAAAGCAGTCCAATTCATACATTAGTTTGTTTTGACCAAAAATTTGTAGAGAAAAAAATCCGGAGCTTTGTGTCGCAGGTAGCTGATACGAATTGGATAGAGCCCTTATTTTTTTATGAACGAAATGGATTGAAACATATGCATACAAGAAGTTTAACATTCACACCTACACAGTTTGTGCTTTCTCTTGCAATACCCAAAACAAGGGGAAAATGTAACGGTATATTATAATTATCATGTAATACACAGTGTAAATTTGACAACTTTATACCTTTTTGATTTGATATATTTTTTTTTAGTATTTCGTTTTGCTAGCTAAAGCAAAGTAAGTGAACGTGATCGATTTTCTTTTCCTTAGATAAAATTAAAAATATGAAAGACATACAACACAACTACAGACACACACACAAACAAAAAACAATTTGCCTAACAATAAATGGTGAAACAAAACCGACGATTGTGACGAATCCTCAAACTTTTCTTGATACGATACGAATCACAACTGGGCCAGAAGGAGCAAAATCGTTTGCAATAAAAAAAAAACAGACAGTAGAAAACTCACAAAATTGGGAAAGAAAATTATGAGTAAATATATTTAAATGTGCAAATCTTTAAACTAAAAAAAAACACCAACATGTTTGAGCTCATGGTAGAAGCTGGAAAGAACTCCAAGTCCACTATCGTGAAACGTGTCCAGTTTGGGAAGCGAAACGAAAACATCCCTATCACTAGCGTATAATACCGTCATAAGTGAGTTGTTCACCTTGTGCTGTTATCGGGTGATTATTCATTATTGCGTCTCGAAAAGCTACTCTCAAAAGCACGTGTCTTGCCCGGCTATGCGAAAGGAAAAGTTGTAATTCAAGTGCAACTTATAAGTGTGGTAATAATGCCAATGAGCCAATCTTACCTCCGCAGATAATAGCTCAGGAGAAAGGAAGTAGATGCGGTGTACTAATAGGGACACCTCATGAGGAGTAGTAGTTCAGTGATTTGACACTACCGTCGCTGGAAGTGTTACAACAAAGGAACCACATTGGGTTACTGTGGAATCGAAGGGTTAGTACCTAAGTAGCTCACCTCACATGAGAACCGATTTCCGAGAAGACCAACCCCGATTCAATTGGTTGACTTATAGCGAATTCGTTTCTTATTCAGTTCCAACCTGGATCGGGTATCAAGATTGGGTCTTCTTGTTTTCTGTCAAACGTCAGTTTGATCGTTTGTTTTTAAAACATACCTAAGGTTGAAGATTGCACTGACAAAATGTTCGGTTTCGCACTGGGTTTGAACCTGGTTCCAACCCCGATAATGAACGAATTCGCTATTAAATTTAAGCCTTGAACTGCCTATAATCGCATATCAGTCCCATATGGATTTACGTAAATTTTGAGATAACAACGCTATCCACTATCAATTGGCATCTACTTTCATAATATGCGATAAAACTATTGACTTTGATCAGGAAAAATATGAAAACCACATCAACCGCAACAACGTAACAGCCGTAAATCTACTGGTGGAGGTGTCCGTGGTGGGTTGGAGGCAAAGGCCATCGAGAACGATTCATGGAACTATGTAGAGCAGGTTTGGACAGCCATCAATCTGGGTGATAGTACACTATTTCTATGCGCTCTGTACATTCCACCTGATCGAGTCCGGGACAATGAACTCATCGATACTCACTGTCGGTCAGTTTTCACAGTTATCGAAAGTGCCACTCCAGTTGATGAGATATTCATTTTGGGTGACTTCAGTCTGCTAGGCAAATTCGTGGAGTCCATCTCATAGCGGATTCCTGTATCCAGATCTTGATAGCTCTAGATTTCACGCAGAGCTACCGTATGCGTGATAAATGTTTGCACCATTAACCAATGCCAAAATTTAAAAAAATCTCAAAAATTTCGTTTTCGATTTTTTTTTTTATTTATTTAAAGGGGGGATGTTTCTCAGAGTCTTAAACTATGTAAATCATCGATCGAGTTTCCACTTGCTGCAATTACGGCCTCCACACGCTTCCGGAATGCACGGCAGGTTCTAATAATATAGTCTGGATCCATTTCTCTCCAGGTACGGGTCAATGTTTGTCTGAGGCTTGCTGTACTCGGGTGGCGTTTAGAACAGACCTTGGCCTTCATGACGCGCCATACTGAGTAATCCAGCGGATTAAGATCGGGGCTGGATGGCGGTCACATATCCTTCGCACAGAACGGAAGATGTTCCTGCAACCACTTCTGAGTGCGGTTCGAGGTGTGGCACGGAGCCCCATCTTGTTGAAACACAACATTTGGCTTCGGACTGTTCTTTGATCCGCTAGGCTCCTTGTGCACTAACTAATAGCGAATTCGTTTATTATTCAGTTCCAACCTGGATCGGGTATCAAGATTGGGTTTGCTTATTTTCTGACAAACGTCAGTTTGCTCGTTTGAGGTTCGCACTGACAAAAAGTTCGGTTTCGCACCCTCCTCTAATTGTCACTGTTGAGGACAAACTCGTGCGTGATTTCAACGATTATCCTGCTACGGTTTCTTATGACTTCCATAAAGCTGACCATCGAAGCATCATAGATGTACTGTCTAGCATGGTATGGGAGAACATCCTTGATCCAGATGACGTTGAGGCTCACCATTAGGCTGATGCAAATTTTGACTTTTTCGCTCCATAGTGCTTAAATGGTTTCAAATCTGGTCCTGATTAGCCTCCCAAAGTTACAACTCATTTGGTTAGAAACAGACTTCGTCCAAGCCATTTGAAGTTTACATGTGAATTACTATGGGAAATCTCAACTTTTTGTTCATTGCCTTCTATTCTTTTTCAATATTGAGCTGCGAAACAGTTCGATAGCCATTCTTATAGAAAATTTTCTCAGCTACAACTTTGCTAAAGATCGTTTCTAGGTAAAACGAGACAGGAAAAAGTTATTAATTATTTAAGAGAGTGGTAAACTTATGACATGTTCAAGCAGCTGCTCTGTAGGCAAAATTTCACATAACTTTCCAGTGATCACATAGCAGCAAATCCCACTACAAAATCCCATGAATATTATGAGGCCGATGAACTTCATTTGCAAAATCACATAAATTTAATGGGATCGCATAAATGTTATGTGAAATTCAGATGAATTCCATTGATTTTGATAATGGATGAAAATCATGTGCATTTCCAATGGAAGCTACATGCAAACTTTTTTCGGTGTATAGTCGAATTTTATTTAATATCCGGTTTGAAGGATTTTTGCAATCAACTTAGCTTTATTTTAGAGGTCAGACAAAGGGTTAAAGGTATAATCCAAACCATTTGTGGAATGGTCCAATCATTTGGGTTTTCATTCGTTTATGGTATTTTTTATTAGGGAATGCGGTACATGCATATTCGTAATCTGCATCAAAAATGGCTGCGAAATAAAAATTTCATCAATGTTAGTAGATTGGCACTATTTTAAATAACTGCGGTTACATTAGCTAAAATCACCATCTTAGAACCCCTCGGTGGGACTTTGTATGGGAGCGAGTTGTCAATTTGTTAGTTGAGTGTCAAACCAACCGGTCAGCACTAGCCGGCGCCGGTGGTGTAGTGGTAAGCGTGACTGCTTTATAACACCCCAATGGGTCTGGGTTCAATCCCAGCCGAGGTCGGTGGGATTTTTCTGAGGCATAAAAATCTCTGGTCACGTCTTCCTTCGGAAGGGAAGTAAAGCCGTTGGTCCCGGCCCATGTGTGTTGTGAATGGGTGCGATATTAGACTGATGCAAAATTTGAAATTTTCGCTCCACAGTGCTCAAACGGTTCCAAATTGGGTCCTGCTTAGCCTCCCAAAATTTGAACTACTTTAGTAAGAAACTGACTTGGCACAAACCATTTCCAGTTTATATGGGAATTACTATGGCAAAACTTATGTTTTTGTTTATATTTAGCTAACAATTCACCACATTACTGTGCTTTTAAAAATGATAGCAGTGATTGTAGCAAATTTTCTTAGCTACAACTTTGTTGAAAACCACTTTTCAATCAAATGCACGAAACAAAAGTTATTAATGATTCAAGTCACTGATGTCTTATGATTATGCTCATTCAACTGTTCAGCAGGCAACATTGGTGTTTCTGGTGAGAAGAATAGAGCACAAATATCAGAATACAGTGTTGCTAACAGAACAGCTGCTTGATCATGCCATAAGATTATCAATCTCTTAAACAATTAATAACTATTTAATTTGACATTTAGCTGAAAAACGATATTGCGCAAAGTTGTAGCTTAGAAAAATTTTCGTATGAATAGTTATAGAACTTTTTGAAAAAGTAATATGGAAAATGGGTAGAAGACAATGAACAAAAAGTTTGGTTTTCCCATAGTAATTTCCATATAAACTTCGAATGATTTGTGCCGAGTCAGTTTCTTACCAAATGAGTTCAAATTTTGGGAGGCTAATCAGGACGTGATTTAAAGCTGTTTGAGCACTGTGGAGCGAAAATTTCAAATTTTGCATCAGTCTAGTGCGATATCCTACGCAGGTGTGGAAGCTGCCTTCCTGCACATTCCATTGTAGTCAATGGATGGCAATCGATGTCCGTCGGTGATTGGCACTAGATTGTGGAGCAGAGACCGACGTTAAATAAAGGAAAGAAGAAGAACCGGTCAGCACTCGTGTTTATTTCAGTTACCGTGGGGACGTAATTTGTGATTAGCCCCTTTCAAATTGTTATTGTTATTGCTCAGCTAACACCCTGGCCGACTATCGCCCGCCCAACTGCACTTAAAGTAGGTGTGAACTTACGGAAATTTTTGGCCGTGGCCTATGCTAGACCGTATAGCATAACGACTTTCTTCCACCAGCAGGCCTGTTGGTCCCGTAGGCAGTCCCACTAGCTTCAGATTTGTAGGGGATAGTAAGAGAACAAAAGAGAAGAGTGATAGAGTATTTGTTGTTTTTCTAAAAAGAGAAGAACAAAAATAGCACGCCGACTTGTTGTGCTGCATGAGCTATGTCCGCTTTCATTCCCGCTCCTACGGGTTACGTCCCTCTTCACGTGCTCACTCACTCACGTATCCTGGGAACCTCCAGAGGTGCAGAGGGCCAACATGAGAAACCTCCATTCTGAGCGGTTGCTTGACCTGGGCCCAGGTCAAATTTCTATTGGCTTGCTTGATTTCCTTGTTGGGGTTTTGCTGCCATAAGCCCCTGTACCTTTGCTGTGACGTACTGATGAATTTCATTCACATGCTTCACACGTTTGCCTGCAGTGATATTCTCGGTTGTATATTATTTTTATTTTTATATTGTTTTTCGGCTGCCAGCAACAATTTTCATTGGGGATCATTTGATACGTTTGGGTTTCCTGCACATATGTACGACTTTTCCCTAGATACATGCTTCGTCCAGTATACATAGGCTGTCTCCAACCGGCATGATCCTTTTGTATGCTTCCTCTTGCCGGTGCAAGTTTAATTCTTCTTTTCTTGTTCAAGCTTTCTCGCTACTTTCCCTCCTATTGATGAATCTACACACTTAGATTTTTTTGCCGATATGGGCACCACCGAGCAGCTCGGCATTTTATTTTGCTGGAAATTCAGCAAAAAATATGTTTGTTAGCTGAGATCTCGGCAAAATTCCCGTTTGTTAGCTGAGATCTCGGCAAAATTCCCGTTTGTTAGCTGAATCTCGGGAAGTTTTTCACTGAGATCCAGCAAAATAAAATGCCGAGCTGCTCGGTGGTGCCCATCTCGGCGAAAAAATCTAAGTGTGTACGTTACGGTCGACTGGCAGATGGAAATGATGTGAAAATGATAATGACGTTTTGTTACCTGTCAAATCGTATGGAATATTTTTTAGTACATCATCACTTTTATGGTTTTGGAATCCAAACCTAGCGGTCGCATGCATTGGTGCAGTTTCGCTTAGATTCATCAATTGAACTTCTGGTCGTGTTCCCATTTGTCCTCAGGCAGTTAATATTAGTACATGATAGAAAGAAAGAAATAGAACAAGTTAAGTGTGAGCCGCATGCATTGGTTACTTATTTGGGTCATGGTGTTGTGTTCCCTATTTATTTGCCTCTATTTCGCTCTCAGATAGCAACATTTAACTCACCCCCTTCCCTCACACTATTATGATCGGAAAAGAGAACCCATCTGGATAGAGCTGGAATTAGGGCGTAACAGCTTTTGTAAACAATGACTTCTCTCGATGATCTCTAGAAAGCCAAGGCTCGCCCACTCAAATCAACGTCACCATCTGGTAGGGGAAGACTTCCACTTCCCGTTGGTTATGTTGGTTTGCGTGGGCGTGCCTTGAGTTTCGAGAAATCATCGATAGAAGACATTGTTTACAAAAGCTGTTACGCCCTAATTCCAGCTCTATCAAGCCATGTTCAGTAATCTCTCGCGAGCTGCGATGCAGAAGATATTAATAGCAGACTAATCTGGAACTGATCTAAGACATATAACCCATTGAGTATTGACACATCACAATGTTGTGATGGAGCACGGACGTGAGATTTACTAGAGTATTAAATGCAAAATGCAAATGTAAAATAAAACTTGCCAAAACTTCGTCAATCCCCTTATTCTTGGACAGGGCCTGACGATGTGAATCTGATTTTGATCAGTGAACGGGCCCCATATGGTACATTTTCTCACTATGAACCTGTCATTTCTAGCCTATCTGAACTATTTAATAAATGGAAACCATAACATGGGTTACGCTTCCCCTAAGCGGGCCCTCCGCATCCTATCTCTGTCTTATCTCAAATGCCAATGGTTTGAATGTATCAATATATACATTGGAAATGACGTTCAATCAAATAAACCCATACCCCATATCCCACTTGGCCAGGCTTCAGAATCGTCCAGTGGGCAGTGCGCTCTAAACTCCAAGTTCCCTTTCTTTCAAAGTCACCCCAAATTTGATGTTTTTGTTAGACTTTTGTCATTTCAATCACAACAAAGACAGGATCGTTTTTATATCAGTGCTATATATATTCTCTTGACACTCTTCCTTTCACATACACAAATACACTCATTGCTGTATAGAGATTAGTGACGTTTAACGCACGCACACTAGCGGGAGCAACGCCGTGTAAAGTTGTTTATTATTTTCCTCTGGCTAACCTAAAAAATGTATGAAATTAGATCTGTCAAAATGAGTTTGACATCGATTTGTTATGTATTTTCCTCGGATATTCACTAACACACTCTCACATATCGCACCAATACAACCGGACGTGAAAATCTCTATGCCACAACAAGCAGAAATAAAGTTTCATTCCGAGTTAGTTAGTCAACCGTACTACACGTAGTTTCCTTGCTCTGTACTGCGCATATCACAACAGGTTATGGGCCTGCGCGCGGAGAAAATACAAAAGCTAACGTTTGTGGGCTATTCTGCGGAACATAAGGCCTACAGGTTCCTAGATCGATCAACGAAGAAAGTCATTGTAAGTCGTGATGCAAGATTCATAGATGGAACACCCGTAGCCCGCGGCCCAGAAAACACTTCGAGCAACACGGTCGAGTTCGAGTTTCATCAACTGAATCCGCCAGATCCACAGATCGTTGAAGAGGATGCCGATGCAGATGCGATGGAAGATGCCGTTGAAGATTTGATGGAAGAGTCAGACGACAGTTTCCATGGATTCAGCGATGAGGATCATGGGAGAAGAAGTTGGACAGCCAACGAGAAGTTCCGAGCGTTCGACTAAGGGAAAGCCACCAGTGAGGTACGCTGACATGATGGGTGCCACAACCCACAGCATCGACGATCCCACGAAGTTACAATGAAGTGATAAGTAGCCCCGACAAGTCAGCCTGGCAAGCAGCGATGGAGGAAGAGATGGCTTCTCTCAACGAGCACCAAACGTGGGATCTAGTCCAACTGCCTCCAGGTAAGAAGGCCATCGGATGTAGGTGGACCTTCAAGAAAAAGGAAAACGATACCGGCCAAACTGTGCGGTTTAAGGCGAGGCTCGTTGCGCAAGGGTTCTCGCAACAATACGGCTGTGATTTCGACGAGGTGTTTGCCCCCGTTGTCAGACAGTCAACCCTACGAACGATGCTGACGATTGCAAGCAGAGAAGGTATGCTTCTCAAGCATCTCGATATTAAAACAGCGTACTTGTATGCCGAGCTCAAAGAGGACATATATATGAAGCAGCCACCGGGATTTGCTGCGGACAACGGGCGGGTGTGCCGCCTCAGGCGTAGCATATATGGCCTCAAACAGTCGGCGCGCGTCTGGAATAAGAAAATAGACAGTGTGCTTCAACAGATGCAGTTTCGAGCAGCCGATGCAGACTCTTGCCTATACGTGCGTGTGCGGAACGGAAAGTTGATGATATCGTCGTGTTCTGCCATTCACAGCGTGAGTTTCAGGAGATCTGCAGTTTACTACAGATGCACTTCAAGCTATCCAGTCTCGGTGAGTTGCGGCAGTTTCTCGGCATCCACGTGGAGAAAGTCAGAGATCACTACACGCTCAGTCAACAAAACTACATCGAGAAGCTCGTTACCAGGTTCGGACATGAGGGTGCGAAGGCTTCCAAGATTCCCCTTGACCCGGCTTATGTGAAACAAAAGGAGGAGGAGGTGTTACCTAACAACACTTCCTACTGTAGCTTGGTTGGTAGTTTGGTATACATCGCGGTCAATAGTCGTCCGGACATCTGCGTCAGCACATCGCTACTGGGCCGCAAAGTGACCAAGCCAACCAACCGTGATTGGACCGAAGCTAAACGTGTCTTAAGATACCTCAAAGGCACAAAGGATCTGCGGCTGCACCTAGGCAGAGGAAGTGGAGGCCTTGAATGTTTCGTTGATGCCGACTGGGCCAGCAACGAAGAAGACAGAAAATCGAACTCTGGTTTTCTCATAAAGTATGCCGGCGGATTGGTGAACTGGGGCACGCCCAACGCCCACCAATTACAGGAAACTTAATAAAATTGCAGAAAAGTTCATTGCATTCGAATAAGATACTTTTCCTGGAAACTCCTTGAATATGTCGAAAAAGTATATGAAAATTCCAGCCTGAGTTTACAATCTCTTGGAGGATAAACGAAATTCTGAAAAATCACGGCAGTGTAGAACATTGCTTCATACCTATCTATTTTCACAGATGAAAACTAGCGGTTCCGAATAAGACTGTTAATCAAACTACAGGGCTGTTACAAGATTTTCTAAAATCGATCCGCGAAATCCGCGATTCCTCAAAATAAATCCGCGACAAAAAAAAAACTGTTTTCATTGCCTAAAAATACCATTTGTATAATAACTAGGGGAATTTACGTATTCTCGGCAACCTAAGCAGTGACCTTCGTTCTATTGCCTTTTTCTCTATAGAACGCACACATATGCAGCATTGGTTTGTTTAAAATCTTTTGCTGCCAGCTGCTCTAACAATTTCAGTCGAAAGAATTGTCAAAAACTGTTTTGAAACGCTTTTACAAAGCTCCAATCTTCTCTAGTGAGAGCGAGTATTGTCGGCAACCAGTTTTTCTTCGGCAACCGTTCCATTTGAACTGCATGTTAATCTGCTGTTCTATTATCGGCAACTCGAAATTAGCTACAATTTGTAGTGCGTGTGTTTCATTTCAAGAAAACCTTGCTAGATTGCTTTTTCTCAGTGGTAAAAATATAGTCAAATTGAAGCTGAAAGCATAAAGAATCGTTTGTATGCATTCAGCAAAGTGTTTTCGTAAGAAAATCCAGTGAAAATAGTGTTTCAATTTGGGTTGCCGAAAATAGTCTGTCATGCCGAAGCCGTCATTTCCCCTACATGGTATTTCAAGCTTATTGCTTATAGCATATTAGATTTTTGCCTTCTCTCAACTTAGTACTTCAACTTTCACATTTTAATTGAGAGCTTTCTATACCTGTACCATCCTATCCTCAATTTTCCAACCCCAAAAATTAATAGACCGGACGGGAATCGAACTCAGTCGCCTCCAGCATGGACCTGCTTTATGGGCCCAGGACATTTCGGTGCCGCGGAAAAAGTTTAATCGTCGTCGCGAAGATGGAGGAAGTGAAGAGTGATCGTTTTCTCGTTGCCTTGTTCGATGGGACAAATTACGCCGCGTGGAAGTTCCGCGTCCAAGTGCTTTTGGAGGAGCACGAGCTGTGGGACTGTGTGCAGACGGAGCTTGACGATTTGGTCGAGTTGGCAGAGCGAGACAACGATACTGCTGCACAGCGAACGGAGAAGAATGCGTTGCGCGAGAAGAGGAAGAAAAGAGAGCGGAAGTGCAAATCAATGCTGGTTTCCCGAATTCATGACTCCCAGCTGGAGTACGTCCAGGACAAGGCCACTCCGAAGCAGGTCTGGGATGCACTCAAGCGCGTCTTCGAAAGGAAGAGCATCGCCAGTCGGATGCACCTCAAACGTCAAATGCTGAGCATGCGATTCGACGGTGGGCGACTGCAGGACCACTTCCTTCGGTTCGACAAGCTGCTGCGTGAATACCGGGGAACCGGCGCGGCCATGGAAGATCTGGATGCAGTGTGCCATTTGCTGCTGACTCTAGGTCCGGCGTACTCCACAGTCGTCACCGCCCTCGAGACGATGCCGGAGGAAAACCTGACAATGGAATTTGTCAAGTGTCGTTTACTCGACGAGGAAACGAAGCAAAAGAGTGTTGATTCGGAGAAGTTTCCCTCCAACAGTGATACCGCTGCATTTTCCGGGAGCAGAAGAAGAAGATTCGGTGTTTCCGGTGCAAAAAGGAAGGGCATAAGCTAGCTGACTGCCCGGAGAAGAAGAAGCCGTCTGAACAGAAAGGACATCGCAGTTCGAAAGCGAACGTTGCCGAGTCGGCTGACCGGGATCGGGATGGTGTATGTTTCGTCGGTGTCAGTGGCTGTGGTGCATCGCAGCAGGCACGACGATCGAAATGGTTCATCGATTCCGGCGCGTCAGATCATCTGGTTCGGGACAAAGAGCTCTTCACGGAACTTCATCGACTGGAAAAACCGGTCGAAATTGCTGTTGCTAAGGACGGCGAGTCCATCGTCGCAGAGCACAGTGGAACAGTGAAAGTGATGTCGATTGCCGATGGCAGAAACATTGAGTGCACCGTGAAAAACGTACTGTTTATACCGCAACTTCGATACAATTTGTTTTCGGTTTCGCGTGTTGAGAAAGCTGGCATGAGTGTCGTGTTCGAGCGGGGAAAAGCGCTGATCTATCGCGATTCCGAAATTGTGGCCAGTGGAAAACGTTGTGATTCGCTGTACGAGCTGGATTTTGAACCGATCGGGAAAAATGAAAACGAAAAAGCGCTGTCGTGCGGTCGGGTTCCGAAAGATTTCGAGCTATGGCATCGTCGGTTCGGCCATATATCCGCGAAGAATCTCGAAGTGCTCATGCGGAACGACATGGTGTCGGGACTGAAAGTTGACAATGACAAGAAACAGAGTGGATCGATTACGTGTGAGCCGTGTATCGCCGGGAAGTTGGCTCGGAAGCCGTTTTCGCGGAGTGAAGAGAGACGTTCGTCGCGGGTGCTCGAACTGATTCACTCGGACGTGTGTGGCCCCGTGACGCCCGTTGGATTGTACGGTTCAAGGTTCTTCGTCACCTTCATCGACGACTGGACGCACTTCACAGTCGTGTTTCTGATGGAGTCGAAGAGAGAGGTGCTGCGCTGTTTCGAACAGTATGAGGCCATGGTGACGGCCAAATTCGGCAAGCAAATTTCTCGGCTACGGTGTGACAACGGAGGTGAGTACACCGGCAAACATTTTAAGAAATTCTGTGCAAATAAAGGTATCCAGATGGAACTGACGGTGGCCTACACCCCTGAGCAGAACGGTGTCAGCGAGCGGATGAACCGTACGCTCGTTGAGAAAGCCAGGGCAATGTTAGTGGATTCGGGCGTAAGCAAGGAGTTCTGGGGCCAGGCCGTGCAGACAGCTGCCTACTTGCTGAACAGGAGTCCCACCTGTGCGGTGCTGACGAAGAAGACGCCGTTCGAGTTGTGGGAAGATAAGAAACCGGACGTTTCGAAACTGAGAGTGTTTGGGTGTTCCGTGTTCGTTCACGTACCGTCGCAGCTTAGGAAGAAGTTGGACTCTAAATCGTGGCGCGGCATTTTTCTCGGTTATTCTCCCAATGGTTACAGAGTTTGGGATCCGGTAAAGCGCCGGATTGTGACCGCTCGAGATGTGGTTTTTGTGGAGACGGATATCGGGCAAGAGGAGCAGCCCAAGCCTGTTGCTGGTGATCAGTTCGTCGAGATTTCGTCGAGTCCAGTTCCGGAGAGCGAAGAAGAAGAAGCTGACGGTGGTGGTGATGCTGAGTCGTCTGAGGAAGAGTATGAAAGCTTGTCTGAAGAATCTTCCGGTGAATCCAGTGAATCCGGGGATGAAACAGCGGATGTTAACCTGGAGGATGGTAGACCGCAACGAGATCGTGCTCCACCGGCATGGCATAGAGACTTTGAGTTTGAGTACGCTGGATTCGCCTTAAACGCAATGAGTTACGTCGACAACATTCCGGGTTCGATTGCTGAGCTGAAACGGCGTGACGATTGGGACAACTGGAGATTAGCCATAGAAGAGGAAATGGATTCGCTGCGGCGGAACAACACGTGGACATTGACAGAGCTTCCCGCTGGTAGGAAGGCTGTGTCCTGTAAGTGGGTGTTTCGTATTAAGCGCGGGGATGGCGATGTACCTGACCGGTATAAGGCGAGACTGGTGGCCCGTGGCTTCAGTCAAAGGCAAGGCTTCGACTATACGGAAACCTACTCTCCGGTGGCGAAATTGGACACCCTTCGGACGGTTCTGGCGTTGGCGAATCGTGACCGTTTGCATGTTCACCAGATGGATGTGCGGACGGCGTTTTTGAATGGCACGCTTAGTGAGGAGATCTTCATGACCCAGCCGGATGGATTTCAGCAGGGGAAGAATCTGGTCTGCCGTTTAAATCGTTCCATTTACGGGCTCAAGCAAGCGTCCCGTGCCTGGAATCAGAGGTTTCACGAGTTCACCGAGAAGCTGGGATTGAAGCAGAGCGCCAATGATCAGTGCCTGTACACCATGGGCGAGGGACGAGAAAGGATCATCGTCATAGTGTACGTCGATGATGTTTTGATCGTCGGAGCGTCGTTGCAGACCGTGAAGGCAATTAAACGGAAGTTCAGCGAAGAATTTGAGATGACTGATGCTGGTGAGGTGAGGCAGTTTCTCGGGATGACGATCAAGAGGAACGTTGAAGCTGGAACCATGAAGATCAGCCAGACAGGGTATCTTGAGAGCTTGCTTCGCCGCTTCGACATGATGGAGTGCAAATCGATTTCGACTCCCATGGAGAATCGCCTGCGGTTGGAGAAAGGGGTAGAGGAGCGGAGGACAGATAAACCCTATCGAGAGCTGGTAGGGTGTTTGATGTATGCTACGCTCACGGCTCGGCCTGACTTGTCTGCTGCCGTGAACTACTATAGCCAGTTCCAGGCCTGCCCGAATGAGGAACACTGGGTGCACCTCAAACGGGTTCTCAGATATGTGAAGGGGACGCTGGACTACGGACTGTTGTACAAAGCGGAGACGGAAGAGGAGCTGTTGCAGGTTTTCTCGGATGCGGACTGGGCAAATGACCTCATCGATCGGCGATCAGTCACAGGCTGTATTTTCAAGGTTTCGGGATGCACAGTCAGTTGGACGACAAGAAAACAGCACACGGTGTCGTTGTCATCTACCGAGGCGGAACTCGCGGCGCTGGTGACGGCTGCATGTCATACGCTGTGGATGAAACGACTTCTTCTGGATCTCGGGTACGAGCCCAAGGGTCCTATAACGATTCTGGAAGATAACCAATCAACCATCAGAATTGCTGAGGATGCAAGAGACCACGGACGCCTGAAACATGTGGATACCAAGTATCACTTCTTGAGGGAGCTCATTCAACAAGCGGTGATTACAGTGGAGTTCGTTTGCTCATCGGACCAGCAGGCGGACATTATGACGAAGGCCCTACCTTCGGCATCCTTCAAGAAGCTGCGATCGGAGCTAGGTATTGGACCTTGCTGTGGTTGAGCAGGGGTGTTGGGATGGCAACCACTGCTCGGTTTGCCCCCACCAAACTACGGCACTGCGTAGAGGAAAAACGTCACTTTGTTTATATTTGCTTTTCTCATTCCAAACACTTTTCTCGCAGAATACACACGTTGTTATTTGTAACCTAAAAAGTAGTTCGCGTTTCTTTCTCCTGGTCCATCCGAAATCCCATTACTTTGTAGCTGCGTCTTTACCAACTGAGCTAAAGGAGTATCGTTTGTAAACTTTAAAAAATATTTATGTATAGTATATATTCTGAGTAATTATGTAACACCCTTACATTATGAGATTCTATTGAAAAATACCGGCCTAGATTTGATGAAACATTATTCAAAAAATTTATGTATTTTCATTTGAAATGCAAATTTTCTTGAAAGTTAACCTTTGCGTCTCTGACGTATTTTGGTGTCCTAAATGTTGTAGTTAATTTGGCTCTAGATTTCTCAATTTTTGATCGATTCAAACCAAACACCCTGCACATAATCGAGAAATTGCCAGAGTTTCATAAGTCACACTTATTGGTCACGTCGCGGTTTTGTATCTACACGGATATTCCTTGGGGTCTGCCGAATCGTATTCATGTGACTGTGTGGATCATGAACGACTTATTACTATGTATACCGGAAATTATAGGTTTTCCAAATCGTCCAGGACATCAGTTGATCAGTTTGATTTGTTCTACTAAATCAACCAAGACTACAATAATGTCTGTAGTATCAAAAAATGTCCAGTCAGATTCAAAGTGTCTATGTGGATGATGCATGATCTATTTCCGAGTAATCCAGATGTTGTAGGTTCTTCAAATCGTCCTGGAGTTCAGATAATTTGATCTACTAGATCAACCGAGATTGGGACAATGTCTTTAGTATCGAAATATTTCCAGACAAATGCACAGTGTCTATGTGGATCATGCATGAACTATTGCCATGTATACCAGATGTTTTAAGTTCTCCGAATTGTTCTGGAGTTCAGATGATTTATTCTACTAGGTCAACCATGACTGGGATATAGTCTGTAGTATTGAAATATTGGTTGGATTCATAGTCTCTATATGGATAATGCTTAATTATTTTCACGTATACCAGATGACTAGGTTCTCCAAATCGTCCTGCACTTCAGATGATTTGTTTTACTAGATCAACAAAAACTAGGATAATATCTGTAGTATCGAAATATCGATTTGGAAATCCTAGAACATTTTTTTTTTTTTTTTATATCTTTATTAAGGAGACTTTCAGCCGTTGGCTGGCTCGTCTCCGAATACCTAGAACATTTGGCATACACGGAAATAGGTTGGCATGATCCACATAGACACTGCAAATTTGTTTGGGCATATTTCGATACTACAGATATTGAATTAGTCTTGGGTGATCAAGTAGAAAAATAATCTGATCTCCAGAATGATTTCAGAACCTAAAACATCTTGTATACGTAGCAATAGGTTGGGTACAATCCACATAGACACTTTGAATCTGTTTGGACATATTTCGATACTACAGACATTATTGCAGTCTTGGTTGATATAGTAGAACAAATCAACTGAACTCCAGGACGGTTTGGAGAATCTAGAATATCCGGTATACATGGCAATTACTCGCATATATACGATTCGTTTATGATTTGACAACGAAAAATGCTATGTTCATATGGGAAATAAAAAAAAAAACATGATAATGTCTCACATTGGACAAACCTCAGGGAATTTCCGTGTAAATCCGATATGACTTATAAAATTAAGATCATTTCTAGATTATTTGCAGGGTGTTTAGTTTGAACCGGCAAAAAATTGAAAGCCAAATGAACAACAAAATTGATGACAGCTAAATAATACGGGACGGAAAGGTTACAATGAATTCCACAATTTGTGTGACAGTACATCATTCAATTCGCTATTTTCGCGACATCATTTAATGTTTTCGCGATTTTCGCGACTGAAACTTCAAATCCGCGACAAATCCGCGAAATTCGCGATATCCGCGCCTGTTGTAACAGCCCTGAAACTAATATCCCGGAAGTTGAGATAGGAGTTCAAATTGCATTAAAACGAAATCCACTTCGCAGCACACCAAAACGAGCTAAAACGAAGATGCGATCTAATGCCTTTTGAGAATCCAGGATTTGTTGATGCAGTATTAATTCAACTCAACTAATCTTAGTCAGTTACTATGAGTTAGTTCTGATGTTCGGAAGTCTTGAAGGCGATTTCTCTCAATTAAGTACCACGCGTGACTTTTCTTACTCAACTTCATTTTCCACATTTAAAAATATATAAAAAAGGTACTTACATTAACCACGTCAAGCCTTAGCCGCTGTTATTCTGCTTCAAGATGACATCGGCCGCCTTGTCGGCAACGGCAATCACCACCGAATTCGGAGTTCCAGAAACCGGAGCCGGAAACACACTGGCATCGACTACGCGCAATCCAGTGACACCGTTCACCCTGTAGAATAAAAATGAAATCAATTTCAAAAACCACGTCAACACAACCCATCAAACCACTGACCTCAAATGGCCGTCTACCACCGCCTCGGAATGCAACCCCATGGCAGCCGTTCCTCCCGGATGATGCCCGGTCAGTGCCGAAACCCGTAGGATACACTCCAAGTAGCGATCGCTAGGCCGATTGATACGGAAGTCCTCCTCAAATGGTCCGAAATTGGCACAACTTCTCACCTTTGGCCAGTGCAGCTTGGCGTCCATCTTTCGGAACGGTTCACTGTCAACGGTTTTCGCAGTCAAACGAATTGCTTCGCTCATACACTCTACGTCGAAGCGGTCTTTCAGATAGTTTGGATTGATAAACGGTTGGGACTCCACCTTCCGATCCCGCAGGTAGACGGCTCCACGACTTTTCGGTTGATGGCACGTGTTGAGGAATAGGAAACCTTCCTGACTGGTGTTGTGATGCAGCGGGAAGTATGCGCGGAATGCATCCTGTTTCATGTTGGACACGTGCCGAAGGGCTTGCTCATCAACGCTTCCCATTCCGAACAGAATGACGCCATACTTGCCCCCACGAAGACTACCGATTCCGGCCACGGCGGTAGTAGCGAGAACTCCCGTTCCTTTTCTCAGGTAGTTCCAGAGGGTTTGCGGATGGATAATTTTGTTCAGCGTGACGCTCTCGGTGGCGTTGATCGACACGAACAGAGGAAGGTTCATGTGATCGAAGAGGTTCTGACCGACGTTTGGTGAGTCGTGAATCATGGGGATACGGTGACGCTTCAACTCGATGGCTGGTCCGATTCCGGACAGCTTCAGAAGCTGTGGAGTCTGGAAAGCCCCAGCACTCAGGATCACTTCTTTGGTTGCCCTGATTTCAATCGAACTGTTACGGTCGGGAACTTTAATGGAGATGGCAGAAGCCCGTTTGTGCTCATCGAAGACAACCTTTTCTACCATTGTTTCGGTTAGGATATGAAGATTGGATCGAGTGAAAGCCGGGCGGAGATATTCATGGTAACTGCTCCATCGTATGCCGTTGCGAATGGTGTACCGGGCCGGGTTGAAGTTGTATTCCGATCCCAGATGGGCGGGAACTTCGGTGAAGGCTTTTGCTAGTAGATTATCTTCAGTGCTGACGGAAGTGACGTGCAGGGCGGGATTGTTGGACTCCTTTCGTGGACGGTTCACTTCGGATGGGACTTTGCTGGAGCAAAAGTTGAGCACCGGCGATTTCTCGACGTTTGATAACATCGATGGGTATTGGTTTTGCTTGAAAAGGAAAGATGAGATTGTTAATTGTAAACGTATTGGTACCTACATAATGTAATTCGGCCAATTTTAAACAAATTTTAAAGTCATCGACAGCGTGTAACTTCTATAACATGCCGTTGACTTGTTCCCTTTTTTAACACTCCGAACACGATGCCTCCGAAAAACTTGTAACGGCAAGTTTGCAATGACAGCCATTTCTAGATGAATTTCAAAAATTGTGGTACCACCAGCATTTATAGGGTCTTTACATTATTTTGTTTGTAAAAAGATTGAAAATAGGGTCGTCTACTTTTTTAAAGTGAAAATAGTCGTTACATGTTTCTTTAAAGGTGTGTTTATGAGTTTTGAAAGACTTTGACTTAAGATCTATAATTTTGAGTGCTGAGCACAACATGTTCATAATTAGCCAGAATACAGTCATGATTTTCATGTATCTTGGAGACAACAAAACGACGCTTCGGAACATCCTGCTTAAGATGACAGCTTAATCACCTAACATGGAAAACAAACGCTTGAATTAGGAAACGTTTCCTCTGTTGTCGGCTCGACTCGCAGTTAGACATACTATATATTCAACTATCCAAATAATCGTTGTCCTACCTTTGCCTGTCACGTGTTCCAATTATAACTCACCTCAAATATTTCATCATCCTTCTTCAGTTCTGGATAGCACGCTTCTTCCGTCGTACCTTCCTCTGCCCGCTCATGCCTCTCCAGGTAGGGCTTCATCTGTTCGTAGCCCCACTCGAGAGCGCCCAACTTCTCCCAGCGATCGAAATCCTCCATAATCCCGGTAAAGTGCAGCATATAGTTGATTTGCCCGGATCCACCCAGTCCTCGACCACGTGGTAGGAATTGTTGCTAAACAAGTAGATGAAAAAATGAAACAAGTCGGTAAAAGTTTAGTCACCTGCTGCTTCGGTGGACTTACGTTATTGATTAAACCGTGCGAGGAGTACTTTTGCGACGTTGTACGGAATGCCCAATCGTACTTGGTTTGCTGCATAGCCGTACTGAACAATGGGACGATGGATGCTGCCCCGAAGACGCCCCCAGCTTCCACCAGCAGAACGGATACGTTCGGATTGGCGGATAGACGATTCGCCAGGACGCTGCCAGCCGTTCCAGCGCCAACTGGAATGAATGTACAATGGTGTAATCAAATTCTCAACTTTAAAGACTATCACTCACCTATTATGAAATCATACGAGGCATTCTGCAACAAGCCAAGATCTTGCACTTTGTTGGGGATATTTTCGAAACCCAACCACACCCAGATTAGGAACAGGACAAGTGCAGAAAGTCCTACTAGGAATACAAAAGCCGACACAAGTTGCTTAAGAAATCCCATGATTCATATACGAACTTAACCAACGTCCACAGAGCTAAGATTTCAACTAAATTAGAGAAACCTGTTTCAGCTTCTGGCATTAGGCCGAATGTTCGCCAACTCGTAACGTAGTGCATGAAGTATGCAAAATATAGTTTCAAGCATCTACTGGCGAACGACTAGTTCTATTACCAGCCGCATTTACCTTTCTTCCCACATTTTAATCCTATTAGAATACAGCGTCGACAATGGACATAGAACAAAATCGAAGCGCATATTGCACTTAGAACATCGATTTCAATTTCCTGCTCTCTACTTTATACGCTGTCTAGTTACAGTCCATTACGGGGCTTTCTTTCCGTTCAATAACAACCATTTCGCTCCTGTATCATTCTTCATTCGAACAGTTTTAAATAGAGAAACTGAAAAAAGGAAAACCTAAACTTACACGCCCTACCTTACCAAACTAAAACCCCACCCACGTCTGCCTTACGCCTTCATCATCTCGGCATCCTCGAGCAGACCGGCGGATTCCTCCAGCTGTTTCTCCAACTGGCGGGCATCCACATACTCGATCTCCTCCTCGTCGTCCTCCACATCCATGAGCAGCGCGGATTCCTGTGCTTTCTCCTTGGCGCGGCGTTCCTTCAGCCCAACGGCCGGCGACCGGATCAGCGCAATGTTCTTCTGCACGTCCACGATGTCGTTGTGAATTTCGTGGTCGCGTGCCTTCCGCAGCCGTTCCATGACAAAGTGCCTCTCGCGACGTTCCCTAATCTCGGTAATCTTCTTGACAGCATCGATGGTTTTGTTCCACAGTTCCCGGTTGTATTTGACTGGGACGTTGCGGCGCTTCTCGAACTCGAATGCCGGATCGATGGTGAGTTCCTTGCCATTGGTTTTCCGGTAGACCTTGGTCCAGCGGATCTTCCTTGGGTTCTTCTTCTTGTTGAACGCCCGACGGCATTTGGAACGACAGAATCTGAAGACCTGCATGAAAACAAAAACACCACCGAAGTGCAGATGTTTGAGGTTAGTTTGCTGGTGAAATACGAAGGAAGCCAAAATCGAACCTACCTTGCAGTCATTCCGGACGAAAACCATGCCGTGGCCGGGGAAGATTTTGCTAGAGCAGAAGTAACACGTTTCTATTCTCATTTTGAGCCGATTTCTGCAGGAATTTCACGAAAAACGGTGCCTTTTCACGGAACACCAAACTGGCACACGCGTGCAGTAAATAAATAAAGGAGCTGTCAATGGTGGCAGTGTTGCCGGTTTGGCGGTGAAAAGGTCCGAAATGTGATTAACTGGTATAATTTTTGGCCAGTGTAGAAGTAGTATAAAATACACTTGTGCACAGATAAATAAAACAACACAATGTTTGGGTGTTTTTTAAACTCAAATTTGAGTTTAGTGTCCTCCGCAAGTCACTAAGGCTCTGAACCATTTGGTGGATTATTTTAACTTTTGGTTAAAATTTGACAGATGAAAAGTTATCGATTAACCCTGCTATCCGAGCATGGTTATTTCTGACAGACAAGAAGTTAAATTTTGACAACCGTGGCTCGAAAACCGGCCGATCGACAGCACGGGGATTTTCGAACATAGAAAATAACTTTCGAAATGTCACTTTTAACCACGAGTTAAATTTAACTCGGCAAATGGTTCACAGCCTAAAATCACCCGACCAACCGTTTCGTTAATTTTCTATACATCGATCTTCAAAGCCATTCATAAGAAAAATCGATAGCGATCGTCACCATTTCATGAATAAAGATCCAAACGCAATGTGGACGGAAGCGGAACGGAAACGGAAAGTTTGACAGTTATCACAAATGACATCAAGAAGCCTAACCGATGTCGATTTGGTTTTAAGTAGTTTTCAATCCGAAAAGTAGGCTTACTCAGATTGGGCTTTTCCGCTGCCGCTGCCGTTCCGCTTCCGCTGTCATTGCGCTTGGGCCTTAATTGTAAAGATGCTAAGGCTGTGTTCCATTTGGTGAATTTTCACTTAAAGTTGACATATGGAAAATTTTAAAATAAACCTGCTATTGTACCTCGTATTGCACCAGATTTATTTCTGACAGACCAGGAATCAATTTTGACAAACACCTTCTCGAAAATAGGAAGATCAACAACAGAGGGATTTTCGAACATCTCAATTTATTTTCGAAGTGTCAAATTTAAGTGAAAAGTCACCAAATGGAACACAGCCTAAAAGCCTAATAGCAACAATCAATACGAAACTAACGATTTTAAATTGGCTCACCACTTTAGTAGCCTATTGGTCCCAAGCAAACGATTAACGTACCCTATTCTAGTTGAAATTCTATTACTACACTATGTTTGTTTTGATTCGCTATGAAAGTTTGACAGATAACATCAGGGGTGAGTGAAATAGCTTGGGACTGCTTGGGACCGTTGTTCTGGTACTGAGTGAGCCAAAAATAATAATGATTTTCTTCGGGACCCAGTGGTCTTAGAGTTACCTCTATGCTAATAGTGAATCGTTTAAATGTTAAAATATTGATTGTGTTGCCAGATAAAAATATCGATTTCTGTTGTAAAATCAAAATATCGATACACAACTGCTGATTTTATTTGTGATTTTTTATCTGCATAATAATCTAGTTTCAATCCCATGCCACACGCAGAAAAATTTATCGTTGAAATAAAAATATTTGAGGTAAATTTAAACGTTAACTTAGTTTGTTCTGGCCACAAAAATAAACAAGGTTTATTTCAAACGTATTCCATGTTTGAAGTCATGTAATATAAATGTTTAAAATAAAAATAATGTAACGTTTATTTTTAAAATATTATTGTTGAAAAGTAACGTAAATATTTGTGTTTGTCAGGTACGACACATCTAAATCTCAATTTTAAATGGTCGAAAAATCTCACACTAGCGGATCAATCTACGAAAAATCTTTTTTCATCTCTTGCATCTAAACCCATCTTCTCGCATCTCTCTCCACCTTTTTGCAGGAAATCTTCGAAATCATAATCAATCGTGTTTCTATCTATTAAGCGCGAGTGCATTTCACAACAGCAAAGCAAAAAATTTCCTGCATCTTAGATTGAGTCGCCCCCCTCGGGTTTGACAACTACACTGAACGAAAACACCCGCCGTTTACTGAATGATTTTTGCCTCACCCAAGCCCCATGCTTATTATCATATGATTTTAAGAAGATCGTCATTCAATTCATCTTTTGACAGAATCAAGGCAAAATGTATGAAAATAATTTAAAATTAGCTTTATAATCATATATCAAGTCATATATACAATAATCAAAAGAGAACACTGTGTGAATGATTTGCATACAAAAACTTTTCAACTTATCAGTCTTGTAATGAAAGAAAATGAGATAGAATTCAAATGATGTCCATAAACCTGAAATAGAATGATTTTCATAAAGGGGCTATGATGAAATATATTCATTTTGGTTTACAATGAAAAACAATTTTTTTTGGGCCTATTAATATGTGACTGATTTTCGGACGACAAGAAGAAGAAAAACGTTTGAAAAGTAAACAAAAACCACTTATTCTTGATCATAAAATTATTCGACTTGTTATTCATTCTGTAACCGATGGTTCCAGAATGTGGGCTTGTGACTCTATCACAAGCAGACTCATAATCGACTGTATAACAGTGTATTAGAATGGTCGTCCTAAATCCAACTCTGATTTTGGTCGCTCACTTTCCCATACCGTTCCATTCGCCTGCGGCACCACTCACTCTCATGAAACCGGTTGACAGCAGGCGCTCTACCGAAAAGGTTGTCCATAGATGGGGCAAGGGGAGAGGTAATGCAGATAAATTGAAAAGATAAATACAGTGAAATTCGGGTTCGCTCGTAGTTCATGGTTTTTCGGTCATTGCTTGGCGTGTTAGCAGGAGTAAATTCAATTCCTTCTTGACCGCACTCGGGAATAGTCTCAGTGCGCGCCGTGCTAAGTTTTCCCGTAAGTCCGCCGAAAGGGCGATGTGTCGGTAGTGAAATTTTTAATTAATGTGATTTGTTTCTTTAATTGTAGGGTCTAGTGCGTGTACCTGAAAAGTTAGTGTCAGGGTTAGTAAAGTTAGTGAACATATAAATAAAAAGTGGTTAGTATTGCTAGAGATAGAGTTAAAAACAGTTAGACGCTAATCGTGTTCCTTTGTTCACAACCTAGGGTAGTGTGACCTATTGTCACCCCACATTAAATGTTCATTGTTCTGAACATTTTCGTCTGTAAGAAAAAGGTAATTTATTGTATTCTTTTGTTATATTGTGAAATATCTGGGTGAGTTTGTAAGCTTGCGGTTTAATTGGTGATTTGGGGCAGGGCAAAAATAGCATATGGCGTGTGTAACTAATCCAGGTGGTTAGGTCCACTAAGGGCCTTTTTCTTTTGTTTCATCGACAGCTATTGTCCGGGAATCGGCGCCATTGCATTCCTCGGCGATAAAATTGTAGGCTCGGCCATTGTGAATTCTGGTTACCACTATCTGTCCAGATTGGCCAACTGGCCCGGCGAAAACTGCATGCCCCGTGAGGGAATCTGTGGGAACATTTCCGGAAGTTCCGTGATTCACGGTACGCACCCGCACACCAGCAACAATACCGATACCCAGCACCAGCATCCTCCCCGCTGCCACCGCACCAGCACCACCACCCTGCACCGCCATTTGCTAAGACCCACCACCAAAACCGCAAGTAATATGTGACGTCACAAATTTAGATATAAGAAAGCAAACCCAAAATCTATGTACATATACACAAAAACTATTAAATATAGTGAAAAAATGTATTTTTTGGGAACTCTTCATATTCATTGATGATTTTACTACCTTTTGTGTTTACTTCGTTCTTCCGGACTCGAAAGGAGTCTCCATGCCTCCCTCCCTTTGCGGTTATTTAATGAATGTTTTTACACTGCGGCTTTTGAGCATAAAAATCATGATACAGTTATCTGCCATTGCTAATCCCGTTGCCCTGTTTATGGACTACACCCTATCGTTGTGAGTTCCTTGTGACAGCATAGATTGATGAGTGAGAGTGGTGTACCGCATTCCTTCCTTCCGACCCTGTTGATCAATATTTCCACTGAGTAGCAGAGGGGTTTACAATTCAATCTCAGGAATCATTAGTTTTGCTTGACGCTGAATGAGATTTCATTCAACGATCGGTGGATGTTTTGGTTCAGTGTAGGTTTCTTATGGCTTGTTTACGTTTGGAACCAGTTATGCGAGGTAGGCGACGATTGTTCGTATTTGACAGCCACCTCCCAATGAGCTGGATTACCGAGGTGAAGCAATCGTTTAAGTTGTGTGAGTAAAACCCCTGTACGATACAAGCAATTAGTGACGTCACTACTTGCGTTTACGTTGATTTTTTGGTTTACTAATACAACTATATTTCACGATCTGCTTCACCTCTCTCTGTACGTCATTGGCCACCTCCCCCCCTTGGAGAAAACTGCTTGAGCTGCAACCGACACATCGAAATCTTGATCGGATGGTGGAGGCACCAAGGGGGGGGAGGTGGCTGTCAAATACGAACAATCGTTGCCTACCTCGCATAACTGGTTCCAAACGTAAACAAGCCACGGCGCCGGGGGTGTAGTGGTAAGCGTGATTACCTCTCACTACAGCAGGCCTGGGTTCAATCCCAGTCGGCGCCGCCGGAATGTTCTGAGGCATAACATCTCTGATCACGCCTTCCTTCGGATGGGAAGTAAAGCCGTTGGTCCCCGGTTCATGAGTTGATGGGTCGATAGGTAGGGTCCAGGAGTGGGAGCTGCCTTCCTGGCACGTCGGTATCATTGGTGCTCAGCACGGAAAACAAGATCGACGGAAAAAACAAACCAAAGGTAAACAAGCCATAAGAAACCTACAGCGTTTGTTTACGTTTGGAACCAGTTTCCTACAAGAATGATCAGTAGGCTGATTTGTCAGCACGTCCCCCCCCCCCAGGTTTTCTCAGCATGATCAGCAACAAATGCATGTTCTTAAGGACAGTCTTTGTGATGGATGCTGCTATCGAATGGGTCCGGTTCCTTGTGAAAGTGAACTTCTTTGAAGATCTCAGCCAACCTGAAACGAAACACAATATTAGGACATTTTTTATGGAAGTTTCCGGTCGCCGGCCGTTGGGCTGAAGAAGAAGAAGAAGAAGAATAAGTAATCCCACTGTTTAAATGGTTCATTGAGCGTGACATTAAATCAAGCTAAAATTCTGGTTTGGTTTGCGTGAGCGTACTTCGATTCGCGTGTAAAGGGCCTTAAAACAGTTTGTTTACAAAAGCTTTTGTACCGTTATCAAATGTTATGCCTGATTTTTCTATTCCTCCTATTCGCCACTAGCGCTATCGTTAGGTCGCCAATTGGAGAGATGAAAAGTGTTCTCACCGATTTTGAGAGAGCAATATTTTCACGGTTTGGATGGGAGGGGATAATGAATAATCGTTGAAGAATGAGAGATGAAAATAGCAGCTTGAGTGATGCGTAGCTTATCTTGCAGCTGATCGAGAATTTCAATCTCTGGCTAAGTTGAATGTTATTTTTTTGAATAATGAAACCGTGATCGATTTATTTGAAAATTCTGACCAATACTAACAAAAGCTGTCACCATATTCGATGGAATAGGTAAAACTAGAGTCGGTGAGTCACGCCAAGAGTGAAGCCAAGTCTACCTATTGAACTGTCAAACCGGCTACCTATCGAGCAAAGTAAACAAACATTACGATGCTATGGAAGGTCCACGAAAGGTATTGCAATAAAATTTAAAATATAATCGAAGAAATGATCATAAATACGCAGTAAGCATTACCATGTCATGGGATACGTTTAGTAATGACCAGTAATGAGAATTTCTACTATTTTTTGTTAAGATAGTTTGACAATATCACTGATATAATGATTTACTACAGCCGCTATTTTTATTTATGGCTAGAAGTCATTTGAAGTTGATGTAGAAGTCCTCTGTTGCCAAGTGAAAAGAAAAGAAATCTTTCGAAAACAGTGATGCGAGTTAAGCTGTTTTTCTCTTGGCGTGACTCATTATACACCGACTCTAGGTAAAACAATGTTATTTTTTTTTCAGTTCGTTTATTTGGCAGGCTCAAATGTTATGAAAATAACTTAGCGGAGCCGAGTAACATAGAATACCAATTTTGGTACTCAAAATACAAAAAAAAATATATATATATATATACAAACATATTTTATCATATGATTTTTCTTGGTGGCGATCGAAGCGGCGACAAAGCGGTCTTCTCCCGTGCACGCAACTTCTTTCTTTCCCGAATTTGTTCCTCATTTTCATTGAACCCGAATCGTGATCGCTGCTGCTGCTTCTGAACATCGTTTCCCGTTGCATGCTCTCCGCTACTCTCGTCGGTCGTCGGGGTCGTCACGTCCATTTCGTTTTCTTCATTCAACATCTCCAACCCCGTGTCCGTTTCCTGATCGCTAATGACAAACGACGCACCTTCCACCACTACACCAGCATACGTACTGCTGCTGTTTTGTTTTCTTTCACTTTGCTTTCCTTTTTCCTTTAGTTGCTTCTCCGGTTCCTTCCGAGCCTTCCGCTTGGGACAGGAAAGCTTCCGGTGTCCGTCCGCTTTGCACAGAAAACATTTATCTTTGTTGCCATCATAAAAAATATTTCCTTTGCGATTGAAGAAATGTAATGCCGTGGGGATTTCCTTCTTCACATCCATATATATACCGCGTATTCCTGTATATACCTCAAAACACAGATCAGTTGGAAATTTCTCCCGGATGATGCGTTTAATTTTCCCATATTTCCCCAGCACTTTATCCAGCTCGTTGTCGGGTACCTCTGGTGGCAAGTCATACACACGCACATATTGAATGAATTCACCAGCATGCGACATGCGTACCTTTGCCGTCGTTCCATTCGCATAATGGAAGATTAAATCCTCCGAATTGAATGTCAGAGCATGGAGCATCGCTTCCTCTGATTTGAACTTCATGAAGACTCCCCTTTCCTCACCAATGCGATAAACAGCTTCCATTTCAGCCGGATCCGCGTCGAGTGCTTTGGCGAAATTTACTATCTCTCCGATGTTTGGTTTAGCATCACAATGGCTGAAGCTAAACTTGATGGTATTTTTTACTTCACACATCTTGCACCGTAGCAATAAAAGGCACCGAACTGCTAGCAACGAACAAAGAGCAACTATATAATAGCAAGTCTCGAAAACAGGCTATCGCGTGGTTCACAACGAAATAAAAAATCGACTGCTGCTGTAGACAGCTGTGGGACAACTGAACAATGTTATTAGTTTTGAAGAAATTGTAAAACGTTTTTCATGAAAAATATGCAAATTCCGTCTTACAATTTATGTTAGAAAATGTGATCAGAAAGTTGAGACGGATTTCGTTAAAAATTGTAAATTTTACAAACTGAAAGCAAGGCATTCCAAAAAAAGTTTTGATAACCCATATCGTTTTTAGAAGCCATTGAAGCGTTTCAGAGACTATTGGAACTATTTTGTAGTCAAACTATTTAAAAGGCAATTGCTGAAATGTCTTCATTACTTAATACGCTAATTAATTCACTGGATTAAGCCATTTGCATCTAGCAAATACCTTCCCGTTACATTAGCAAGCATTTTAATTTTAATCTGTTCACTTTAAAAATATAGGGGAAATGGCTCTAATGTTGACCTATGGATCTAAGATTGGATCCATCGCTAAAAATCTGTTATTTATAAATTTTATCTAGATTTTTGGTCGCTATTGAAAATTTAATCCATCTGCTGAATTTATGTATGGGCCCAAATTAGGGGCATATAGGCAACATTATATCCATTTCCCCTATACATCGAAGTAATTTTAAAAACATTAGTACGAAGCATGTGCATAAGTTAACTCTTCCGAGATTATCTTTGAAAATATCTGAAATATCTTCAAATCCAATCAATAAATATCCAGTTCATTTCCCATGGAAATCGTTTTGCTTAAATCAAGCTGAACATTGCAATAGGTCCTATGTAACCTTGACAGACTCTCTTCGTCGACTTTCTCTTTGCATTCCCACGGCCATGTAAAGACATTCCCAGGTATTTTCGATCGATAAAAGAAGCTTTTATGTAGCATCTAATACGACAATAACTCAAGCCATTAACGAAAGAGAGAGTCGACGAAGAGAATCGATAAATGTTACCTAGGACCTAATGCAATGTTCAGCTTGAAATGTACTTAACGTTTATTTGGATATTTTATTTATTTTCATAATCTTGATTTCAATTTTTAAACAACCGGAATGCATTCTAATACAATTTTAATGCATTTTGTTAAACTCGGAGTCGGAGTCGGTGATTTTCAAATCAGATGAGTTGGGGTCAGGATTCGGTCAATTTAGATCCAACGCCACAGTCCTGAATCTAAAGAATAACCACCCTATCGAAATGTATCCAGACATTTGTATCCAGATCCACATTTTCCTTGTTCAGGAAATCCTTTGTCTTCCAGTGTGTAGCAGGCCTACCGCTACAGATCATCCGATGGGCTGAAAGCGACTGCGCAAATTCCTTCTTTTCGCACCCAGTGCAGTGTGGGATATAATGCACGCATCTACGTGATCCTCACAAGGCGTTGTGCATTTCACTCGCGTTTGTTTTTATTGTCAGGTCTCACGTTAATTACACTCAAATCAAGCGTCGGCAAGGCGGTCCGTCGTTGCAGATTCTAATCAATTGGTTTAGTGTCTGCGATTGCCTGTCGTAAAACAGTAGTACACACTGGCACCAAAACAAGGCGATCTTCTAGCGCAGTAGTTCAGTTCAGATCGTTGATCTTCACAGCGTATTCGTTGAGATCTTACATAAGTGATAAGTGTTTGAAGGTTTTCGGTTACGCCGCAGCGAGCATGACTTGAAACACCATTAGTGAATAAACAAATTATCAAATTATATAAAAAATAGAAAAGCTGCCAGCAGCTCACGGTGAGTAGAGAATGGTACAAGATTTTCACTTTTTATTATTGCTCTATTCTGAGAAGGGTCCATCGATCGATCGTCTTGTCAGAGGCCACTGTGATTACGATCGATTTTCGAGCGTGGAGTGAGTGCGTTATTTGAATCGATCTTGAACTTGACCTTCTTAGAGGAAAGAGAAAGCAATAAAGGGGTTTGAACTTGAAGCCTGGTGAGACACCACGCCGTCTTTGTAAAACCGAACAGAATATTGCTTTTCTACTCACCCACGCTCACATCGGACATGATGAATAAAGGGAAACCCCCGGAAGTGAGCGTAACTAACTGACGTTAATGCAATCTAAGTAGCCATGGATTCTACTCTCGATTATACTTACTGATGATTCCCATGAGAACAGTTTTCCTACTGAATATCGGCTAATCTTGCACAGAACCGCAATTATTCAAATTGACCGGCCACTGTCAGTCAATCATAAAGCTTATGTTGCAGCCGAAATTGTGCCTTGAAGCGTGGGTCGCGGCATTGCGCCGAGAAAAAAGATGATTGAAGAAAATTTTAATGAAAAAGCTGACGGTTAAATGGTCTCAACTGAAGATGAGTCTCACCAATGAGCAGCCCGACGGCGTAAATAAACCTAGTGGAAAACGACAAGCGGTGAATTTGGCGTGGAAATTAGCTCGTTACAGGCTATATAAAACAATATTGTTTGCGCAGAATATAACCGATGGTGGCCTAGCGGCTCATTACGGACAATCATCGTTGTGCCAGTACCTATACCTGCTGAGAATTGGCGGCATCGTGGAATTGCCACGCGAAACAAAACAAATTAGAGTAATTTCTTGTGAATTTATTGTTCTGTTAAAACGCATGTACGACTGGATCTTATTGCCTGGGGTGGAATCGCACATTACCCATTTGTCATTATCGTTCACATGAATTGGCCACGCGGTCTTCTTGGGCGTCGTGGAGTGCCAACTGGAGGCCAAATGATTATTCTTTCATCGATCGGTGTGCTGAAAATAGCTGGAAATGTCTTAACATGGCCGTGAGGATGCAAAGAGAAAATCGACCACTACCAAATTGGCACAACGACGCCCTATACGCTCTCTGACCGAAGCGCAGGGATTAAGATAGATAGATTTGGACTTTTATTAACCATAGTAGCAATTAAGTTTATAGAAAGAACTTTATTCGAAAAATAGAAGCTTATGGATGTTTTTCCGGGTTTTTTCGAGCTTCCCCTGGAAATGGCTAGTTCTAGAATTTTCTATCGATTTCCGAAACCTTTCTGGCTTCCTCTGGATGTCATGATTTTTTTCCGAAAGTGTATTGTAATTTTACCCAGAAGTTTCTCAATATTTTTCTTGGAAGCTTTCCGGATGTTTTTCCGAGATTTCTTAGAACTTTCTTCAAACTTCCTCCAAAAGAGTTTCTTTTCCTAGAAGTTTTTGGCTAGCTTTAGAAGCTAATTCAAAAATTCCCCGAAAATTTCTTCCAACTTTCCTGGAAAGAACGTTCTTAGTTCAAAAGTTGAAATTTTCACCTCAAAAACGGCAAAAATATAAAATTAATTGAAATACACTACCGATCATAAGTTTAAGGACAACCCCAAAAAACCATGCAAATATGTTTTGTTCAATGATCTCTCATTTTACGTTCAATTTTCGATCTCCAAAGGTTATTTGAATGGTATGAATGGTATAGCATAAGTGTTCTACTCCTACTTTTATTTCAAAATTTGACCAACCAAATTCTGAGAAAATCAGTCACGATTCTTCAGAGTAAATTTTGAAAAATATTGTAACTTTGGGTGAAAAATTTGAAAATTATATTGAACAATTTGCATTTGCAATTTGCACAATTTTTAAAAATTTTGATCCTGATAACCTTGAAAGCAATCCGACAACACTGGTCCCAAGTATCGTCTATTGGTTCTGTGTGTAATTACAGCTGATCTGGCATTAACAGAGTAGCATCCGCGGGCGGTAAATAATGCTCACGCTCATGATGTGAGCTCCACGCCAAATGATGAATCGGAAAAACTCGACCTTCTCAGAATTGCATGAAACTTTACATAATTGTTTGTTATGGGCAATGATTCACATTTTTGCTAAAATTCGTTCATTTAGGACCTTGTAATATTTGAAAAAAATGGCGTGTTGGGTTACCGGACCCTTCCCAACACCGATTAGGGGAGGTAAAAAAAGGCACTTCCGTACACTTTGGGTTTCTGTTTGGGGTTCTTTCCAACCGTTTTCACATATCACACAGCACATTCCACCATTCAATCACACATCACATATACCTATTTAGTCCAACATACAATTTAATACTACACTTTACATATTTACAAAGTCATTACACACTACACATAATATGTTAAAATCAGTTGTGGCTTTACTCCAACCACCCTCCTAAAGAGTTAGAGCCGACTGTCCTATCCTAATAATCTTATAATTTTCGATCCCTCACTGCTAGACGATCACCGCAATGACATCATTAATCTCGATCGAGTTGAGAATTGGGGAGAGCTTCTGTATAAACGACTATGGTTACAGGTTAAGGACTGTTCATTAATGAAAGTAGACAACTGTTTCTCAAAGGAAAATATTTATTCTCGAACAAATTCATAATTTTACTTTATATAACTGAAAATCAACATACATATGACCGATTTCACGTGAGTTTGAATGTTTACTTCTCATTTATGAAGAACGCTCGAACTTTTCTCTTGATACCGCCCATTAGATTCTGCACAACTTTCTTCTTAACTTTTCGTAGTGCTGCAGACCAAGTTTTCTTGAAGCAGTCAACAGAGCTTGCTTCGCTTCCACCTTTCTTAAGATGCCGTTTAATTATTACCCAGTATCTTTCGATAGGACGCAGTTCAGAGCAGTTTGGGGGATTTTGGAATTTTTCGACAAAATTGACTTTTTTTTTCTTTCTTGAGCATCGCCAACGTAGCAGAAGCATTGTGAGCCGATGCCTGATCCGGCCAAAGCAATGGAGGATCGGAGGATCCGTATGCTTTCGATAGATGGGAAGAAGCCAAGTCACTCTGCCACCTTGTGTTTGTGCTTATTGTGTTTCATGTGTGTTTTTGGGTGTCAGAAGGTTTTTCTGGGTACTTCGTATTGACCGAGTTGTCAAAACATCAACCGAAAAAAATTAATTTACTGGCAACCATATCCTCAACCATAACATAACGCTGCAAATGACAGACCCCCCTGCGATTCCTTTGCAGTTGTTTGTTTAAAGGAAAAGCACAATCGGCGGGAGGATCATTGGAGCTAAAATGACCGCAGCCCGTGCCACCCGAGAAGAAGGATCAAGCAAAGGGAGCATTTGCAATTGATTGGAGGGGCCGTGATTGGGCTACCGCTGGTGAGAACCTAGGATTTACAATTGGATTTACAATCAGAAACTTTTCCGTTGCGTTTGTCTTAGTTTTCTTGCAAGACAAGACATCTTTACCTTTTTAGACTCGTTTTTAGCATCCTGAAGCCGCTGCTTTCGTGGATCCCAACCGGTTTAGTATTTCCTTTTGACGTAGGACTACGTCTTTCGGGAAGATGGGGGTACAATTTATGAAAAGTGAAAAATGAAATTATGAAAGATTTTGAACGTTAATAACTTAGCTGCCCCTGGACCAATATCACCAATCGATCAGAAACATTTCTACGCATCGATAACAATGCTCTTGACTGTTGATTTTCAAATTGAAACTATTGAAAAGTGGTAAATGTCAAGCATTGTCCAAAAGCTTCTAAATAACTAACAAATCCACCAATTACGTACATGCATGTGCTGCTTCCCCAACACAGTCATCAGATAATGGTTCCTAGATAAAACAAGTCGAAGTGACATTCGCCTACGATCTTCGGGCGTGTACGAATAGGGAGGATACAATTGCAGAACATTTTGTTGCCAATTCCGAACCACACGCCCCCAACGACCACACAAAATGTTGTTTTTTTCATCGGATTTGTTTTCCGTGATGAGCACCAATGCACCACACCCATACTTGGCATACACAGTTTTGGTCACGAACTCCTCATTTGCTAATAACTTTGCACAAAGTTGACGGAACATAGTTCTTTTTGAAGCAGTAGATAGAATAGAGTGTAAGCTTGTTATAGATATGTAAAAGAAAGTAGATTTTAATGCTAGAAGTAAACTGTATTTGTTTTAGCGTTGTGAAAATGAGGTGAGAAATGCTCACTACACACCTCGGAGTTTAAGTGTTAAATTGATTAGTGTTGATTCAAATGTTAAGCTTTACATAATCTTCGCATATCTATAGTAAAATATGAGCCTAATCTATCAATTACTTTAAAGAAAAATAAATTTCAACATCTGAGTTTATTACCAAATGAGCAGTTGATGTGTACATCTGTGCATGCCTACACCTGGACCCTATTTATCGACCCATCAACTCATGAACCGGGAACCCCGAAGGAAGGCGTGATCAGAGATGTTATGCCTCAGAACTTCCCGGCAGCGTTGACTGGGATTGAACCTAGGCCTGCTGGGACGCTTACCACTACACCACGGGCGCCGCTGCTCTCTAGAGTTGTAATCTTGTAACCAAACTTGGAAGCAGAGGATACTCTATATAAATTCTATTCTAACTCTTATCTGAAATGGACTTGGTGGCCCTGAAAAGGGCCGTTTTGTTACATTGGTGATAAGTTTTAACCTCCGAAACCGTACAGAATGCGTCCCTGTCGCTTCAGATCGTAGATGACATCCATGGCCGTGACGGTTTTGAGCTTGGCGTGTTCATTGTTTGTAGGTGTCGGCATCAGACCGGAGACGCTTGACATAACCACGTCGAGCCAGACGACGAATGGCAGGCTTGGTAGTACCCTTGATGTTTTCACCTAGAACCTTCCGATGACGCTTGGTGCCTCCTTTTCCAAGCACTTGATGCTTGTTTGTCGTTGAACGGGTGAATCGAAACTAAGCCTAAAGCGTTAGTTTAGTTTAAATGATCTTTATTTTAGTT